TTAACAAACTTGAAGTGTTTGAAATGTGGTGCCTGCGTCGAATGCTTAGAATATCATGGATGGACAGGGTCAGAAATGAGGAAGTACTCAGAAGAGCGGGCTTACAGGATAGGGAACTTTTTAGTTATGTAAAAAGTAAGAAGACTGCATACTTGGGGCATATATTACGAGGAGAAAGATACACTTTTCAGCAACTGATACTAGAAGGGAAGATAGAGGGTAGGAGAGGTCTGGGACGTAAAAAAATATCATGGCTGCGCAATATTCGACAATGGACAGGAATCCACAGCTATGAAATAATTCGCAATGCTGCTAAAAACAGAATTATTGAATCCTGACTATTTAACATCTCACCTGACAAGACGATGTACGGTGGACGCCTACGCAGAAATGCACGGCACCTTAAGAAAAAGAAGTGGATATTTGACCGAATAGGCCGCATGCTCACCGCCACAGATAAGGCATTTAGGTGATTGTGGGGTGAGACAGGATGTGGATTTGTGATCCTGACCGCAAGTAGGTCACCTATACTGTTTTTGCGGGCCATACATAGGAGCAGAGGTAGGGTGGCAGGTTTGGGTTGAGGTCTAGGGGTGTGAATGGCAGTCGCATAGGTAGGTAGGGTTTAAATTTTAGGTTGCGCCGATATCGCTCACGTACGAATATATAATTATATGGTAGTCGGCAGTTTTGTCGGATTACAAAACTAGCCCAAGCGCTGTTATTGTTTTCGTGGTTTCAGATATTTGAGTTGTTACGTTCGCCTCCTGTTACTTTCGCCCACGGTCTGTCCTACGTTCTTCAAAAGAACTAAACTTCTGCTATAAACTACACCCAAAACCGTCTTCTTGGTGGCATTTCCCATGACGTGCGATCGTTTGTAATGTAAAACATTAAATTCTGCGTTTTGTATTCATATTTCAAATGCCTCATATTTGTTGCTACAAATTAAAATTGAATTTTCATGCCATTGCTTTTAAAGATTGATCTCTAAAAATGAAAATGTTACTATATACGACTGCTCACTGAAAGTGATCAATTCTATTACTCCAGTTACTGAGGCTTAAAATATGGTAATACCTCCGAATTTTTTATAACTCTCTCGATTTCTTTAAAAATTTCAAATTAAGCTTATCTTACCCTCAACTTCAAAAGTTATATACGCTCTAGGTGCGCTTTTTGTTTTTAGGTGGTGAAAACTACCCCTTATTGAAGAAACTGGGAAAAACACGGAGTTAATTATTTTATGCACTTAAATCTTGTTTATTCGCATAAGGTAAATATTGTAATGTGTTCTCTAATATGAAAATTAATTATTCCCAATTTTCAACCCTTAAAAGCTAATACTTTTTATAAAAATAATATGAAAAAAAAGTCGTAGCAGCTTGAGACATTTCAATTGTGTATTTAAATACAAATAAAAATTAGTACCTTAGCTATACAATAATATTTTATTTATTGGCAATTTTCAACCCCTACAACCACCCTTATTACAAAAATGAATTAAAAAATATTTTTATCGGTGTGAAACAGTTGAAACATTTCTTGAGTGCATTTTATTTAACGAAAATTAATTAGATAATTTAATTAAATTAAAAAGTTATACTATGCGTTAGCTCCAATAATGAGAAAAAGAGAACTTACATGAGAGACAAGAATAAAAATATGTAACACAATAGTGATACCGACTGTGCTCTATGCAAGTGAAAACTGGACAATTCTGGAAAAACAAGAGCAGGATAAACGCAATGGAGATGAGACATGTAAGAAGGATAGTTGGAAAGACAAAATGGGATAGATTAAGCAACGGGACTATTAATAGTCCTAATTAGGAGAATGGCCAACCAGGAACCGATAATAAACAAAATAGCAAAGAGACAAATGAACTGGTATGGGCATCTGATGAGGATGCAATCCAATAGAATAACAAGAAAAGTTCATGAAGCAAAGAACATCGGAAAAAGAAAAAGAGGCAGACCAAGAAAAAAATGGATACAGCAAGTAGTAGAGGCGGGAAAACTTAAGCAAAAATCACTCGAGGAATTGAAAATAATGGCACGAAACAGAAAAGAATGGAAGAGGTGGGTACCTAAATGGAAATTAAAATAGCTAGCCCAAATCCGACACTCTGATAGGGTAAAAGGAAGGGGAGAAAGAAAGAAAGAAATAAAATTAATTTTTTGCATATAAAATAAATTATAATTTCAACCCTCACAACCAACCCCTTTTTTAAAAAATTAATTTAATATATTTTTATTGGTCTGAAACATTTCTTGAGTGCATTTTATTAAACAAAAATTAATTTCTTGTTTATAAAATAACCACCCTATTTGTCAAAAATGAATTAAAAAATATTTTAAACGATTTGAAACATTTTTAGAGTGCATTGTTAGTAGACAAAAATTAATTTTTTACTTGAGCCTACTTTTTTCAACCCTTACAAGCACCCCTTTTGATGAAAATAAAATCCTTAATTCCTTAACTTAGCATATTGGACATAAATAGAAAAAATTTAGTTTATAATATATTACAATTTTTTTTATTTTCCAAAAAACTAAAAATACATAATATTTATATAAAAATTGTTTTATATAAATATATATATATATATATATATATATATATATATATATATATATATATATATATATATATATATATAGTTATATAGTTATAAAGAATTCGGAAGTAAAAACCCTCAGTAACTGGACTAATTGATCTCATGAGAATTGTAAAAAATGGTAAAAATCGCACAACGTTTATTTAACACTTTTATAAAAACTAGGTTTATTCGCGGCAAAATACAAAAACTGTATTTTGCTTCTTTACCCCTCCGCGAGGGGGGTTTTAGGGGGAGACCCGTGATGACCAGTCATCAACTCTGATGACTGGACTAATAATTTTCGAGTTATTTAAAAAAAAGACATTTTTTTCCAAATTAAAAAATTTTTCTTTTACTTTAATAATATAATAAAGAACCAATTTTATTTTGATAATGATTCGCCTAATTTTGATGCTAGAAACTTTTTAAAAAAGCAAAAATAAACCTTTTTTAAACACTTTTGTGTGTGTGCACACACAAGTGCTTCATTATTTGCTTATTTCACGTTGAAATATTCGATTTGGAAAATAAGAACCTACTTTTCATGAACTACAGCTCTGCTTCTATTGGGTCTACAGACTAAGTACGCCAATTTTTTTTGGTCTTTTATAAGCTACATTTTTGACTAGAATATTGTTTTCGGTAAATAAGTACTTACTTTTAAATTATTTGTGAAAAACAGTCTGAAAAATTAGTTTTTATTTTGAAAATTAAAATTTTCACTCACAAATAACTCGTATTGTATTGTAAATAAGTAGTGATTTAGTGAAAAACTCTATAGAATAAAAATTGCTTAGATTAGCCAATTTGTCCATTTCCATACTTATTTTAAATGTAGGTACGTTTTTCACCTCCGAGAAGGGGTGGCTTTCATCCCTTAAGTAAAAGCAATCCTAGGCCCAAATCCAAAAGTGAAGTAGAGGGTAAGAGGAACCCAATCGAAATTTTCAAGCAAAACTGTTGTGACGAGGAAAATTGCACTCCAAAACAGTGATTTGCTTGAGTATCTATTAATAAACAATGGAAAATTGATTTTAAGAAAAAAATGCTATCTTGATTCCTATTGGTCATAGGTTCTGTTTATTTTTGGAAAGTGTATTTTTTCACCAGCTTTTCATTATGTCTACTTACAAGCATGTGACATTAAAAATATCAAAATTATTATAAATGGTTATAACCTAAAACGTCAGCCCTTTTCAAACTGTTTTTTTTATATAACAAATTTGATAAAATATTGATCTTTTTTTTAACATACCTTAAAAATGAAGCCTCAAAGAGTTGATTACGATTTACAAAATAACCGTAGAATCACTGCTTGGACAAGTACAGTTGTTTAAATAAAGGCTCTCTGGGATAGCTAAATTGAATAACAACTATTTGGTCGATCTGTTTGAAATTTAGCGCACTTTAATAACTCTTTAACTGCCACAATATTGAGTACTTATATTATAAGTCATTAAGCAAAATAAAAACTTATACATTACAACACTTATAAATTACTTACTGAAAAAATATAATATTTATTTTTTTCCAATTATCCCGGCCAATTTTTTATGTACTTTAATTTGGAAATTCCCAAAATAAAGAAACTTTTATGATCTACAACTTTTATTTGGACAATTTCTAAAAGTATAAATGTTTTATAGGCAGAAAATATTTTTTCACTTTTTGTTTAATAAAAAAAAAAACAAATCAAAATTAGCTGTATATCTTCACAGAATTGCCATTAGCTACCTCTCATATACCTTTTAGAGCCGTTATAAGATTTTTCTTGCTTTAATAGAACATGGTCTGTTTTACTTCATTTGTTTGAAGTTATCGTTGTCACTATTTTCTTCAAATTAATGGTTTTCTATCAAACTCTTTATTTAATAAACTGTCAAAGTACCTTTTCCTTCATGAATTAGTATTTTTTTGCTCTAGGTTTGGTTCTTCTATAATTGTTGTTTCATTTACCCGATATTAAGCTGATCACATAGATTTGTATTCACTTCTGCTTTAGCTACTTTCACTTCATCAAGTTTGTCATATGATGGATAAAATAGTTATAGAATGAGAATTTTCTTTTGAAGGGAAAATTTTACATAATATGTCAATGCTTCCTAATTTTTTGAAACAGCTTTTTTGAAAAAATCAGACAGATCATGACTGACTAAAATCAAGTTGCAGTTTGTCTTTACTGGCACTAAACCATCAAACTCCACAAATGGTACTTTTTATGGACAATGGAAAGGCAACAAAACATAAATCAACATAATTCAATTAAAACACAAATGGAAGAAAAACAAAGCTGTGGTTTGAAAACAGAGGTTTATGAAAGTGCAAAAAACATATTTGTTTAGGAAATATAATTCTAAAAAAATTAATTTTTGAGTTGGATTAAAATAACTTAAGATATGAAAGTAAAAAAATATTTTATTAACTCAAATTTTTTATAATTGACACTAAAAAAACACTTTACACAATATTTACATTATAATTTTTCACCAGTATAGAAAATTTGGCCATCCTGACATAATTAAATGTAAATAATACCTATCTTATACCTTAAAGTTTTATTTATACACAATAATATATAACTCAAAATAAATAACGTATACAAAATATACATTATTTGATTTATACATAAATACAATAAAAAGTCACATTTATATGTACTATAACGTACAAACAAATAGGGAACTTATTATACAGTTAACCCTAATTTGGTAAAGTATCATAAATAATATCTCGTGCAGATTGTGAGAGGGGTTCTGGAAATATAATATCAAAGTTAACAATTAAATCTCCTCGTCTATTTGGTTCCTTTGGTACAGGCAAACCATATCCTTGGAGACGTTTAACTGTGGTTGGTTTGATAATTTCATTAGTATATACAAGAGGAATGGATTTTCCAGACATGGTTGGTACTTCAATGGTACAGCCACACAAGGCCTGTAACAAAAAAAAAAAAAAATTAAAAATGAAATTCAAAAATTGTACAAAAAAACATTTTCATATATCATTTGAAACTTTTTAGTAATCTAAAAATAGTGTCAATATTATTTTTAGAATTGGACGTCAGACTAGGTCAACTAATAGAAACCAAAATTAGATCATAACTGAAATCTGGAATTAAATTAATTGGCGATTGTTAACAATTTTTTTAAATTTTGAAATAGAGACTGAAATTTCAATAAATCATAAATTACCTGTTTAAGTGATATTTTAGCTGTATACTTGATGTCACTGCCTTCCCTTTTGAATAGTGGATGTGGTTTGTCCCTGATGATAAAAACAATGTCTGCAGGTATCTTATTTCTGCCCTGGTCTCCCTCTCGTTGGAATGTAATTTTGGTACCAGCTTTCCATCCAGGTTTTACATTTATTGTTAACACTTTGTCTTCTTTCTTTGTTGATCCATCAGGCTGCATCACTCTTCTACAGATCTTCAATTTCTTCTGACACCCTTTGGTAATGTCCTCCAAGGAGACATAGAGATCATGCTCAATTGCTGGATCTTGAATTTTGTCTGCATTTTGTCTTCTGTTAGGTGCATTATGAAAGTTAAATGAATGGCTTCTGAATGCACCACCTGGACCCTCTCTTGGTTGTCTCCAATCTCCAAGGAACATATATGGCTCATCAACATCTATATCATCATCATGCATTGCTCCAAACATTCTGTTGTCAAAGAATGTTGCAAAGGGACTTGGATTGCCAAAGAACTGAGCAAACGTTGCCCTTGGATCACCATGGTATGTGTAAGAGAAGTTTGTGCCAGAAGAACTGTTGCCTGTTCCTTCAGGATTTCCATGTAGCCCTTCCTCGCCATATTTATCGTAGATTTCTCTTTTTTTCTTATCTGATAATACTTCATAGGCTTCTGCAACCTCTTTAAATTTCTCTTCTGCTCCAGCTGCTTTATTTTTGTCAGGATGGTATTTTAGGGCAAGTTTTCGATATGCTTTTTTGATGTCATCATCGCTTGCACCCCTTTGGATGTTTAAAATTTTATAATAATCTTTCCCCATTGTAAAATGCACACTTAAACACTTAAAATAGTTTTAATTTCTACACAGATGTTAAGTCTTGCTCCCAATCACTTTATGTACCTTATATGAGAATTCACTCGTTTCACGTCTACTCAATTTCAAAGCAAAAAGCTCACTCCCATGCGCAATGTCTTCCCTCCTTATATATTTAAAGAAAGAACATTCTCGATTTTTCTGGAAGGTACTGGAACGTCATCGGCGTAGAAATCGATGGGCCTGGAATTTTTATAAGTGTAACAACAGTTTTTTACGATTATCAGTACTAAATATTCCTGTATTTAACAAAAAATATATAGTAATAATCCATTCTTCTCACCACTTTAGTGTAAACTGTATTAATACTTATATTAATTAGTTTAAGATAATTAATTTTTTATTAAATCTGCGACACTGTTTGACGCGTAGACGCCTATTATTTTGACAACTGAAGTGCAAATTTCAAGCTGGATTGTTCGGTGTTTATGTACTATGGATTAAACTTAGATTGGGTAGGTTCAGTTTTCATAGGTAATATTCATTGTGTTTACTACTTATTTTTGTTTTTGTTTACTATATATGATTTTAAATTCATAAGAATTAACCGTCGTAATAATAATATAATTAATAATTATTGTATATAGTTAAATTAAATAAATCACACCTGAATTTCTTAACAGGTGCAATTTAAAATGTAATTACTAACAAGGCCAACGAGAGATACAGGCCATGGCGCGACGTTCATTTCGCGTAACTAAGCTCTGATGTCACAATGAGCGAGGGTTTTAAAAATCTTTCCAAACATTTCTAATTTGTGTGTATTTGTATCATAAACAGTTGGAAATATTGGTTTTTTAAATGTTTAAAGAACAAATAAAGACTTTTGGATATAAACGTTCATTCTGTGTGATTGGTATTATTTTTTGTTCGTAAATTTGTGAGGTAAAAATATAAAAGTATTAAGATATTTACTATGAATGTTCATATTTTAAGGTTATGTTATTGTTTGATTAAAACTTTAATCATTTTTTTACTGTATTTCAAGGTATTTTGTTGCTGTTTTTATCAGAGTTATTTCAAAATAAATCAATAAATCATTGGATTTATTTACGAAGTTGAAAATATTTAAATTGTTTTATTCTTGATGTTCAGAAAAGATGTGATCAATCGCCCAGTTTACCGCAATGTGCAATTATCGTTTTCAATCACATGTATTTTAAATAAATGACATGATTATATACCTATGTACGTGCAGCTTTAAAACTCTTAAACTAAATAGTTTGTGGAATAACTGACTGTAAAGTGGTATATCTTGTATGATTTGTGAAGCAGTAAAGATTCCATTGATCTTTTGCCGATAGCTGTTTTTTTAATTATAATGGCATCTGATACACATAAATAATATCAAAATAAAGTGCTAGTTGACAATTAAAGAAATATTACATATTTAAATCAATCGACAGCTCTCAATTAATGGAAATGAACATAAAAAACTGTCGAATAAAACCAGAATATGTAATGATAAAACAAAGAAAGGAAATGAAAGTAAGCAGTAACATACAGAGAATACAATACACAGAACTTTGTAAGACAATAAGAAATAGTAGTATTAAGGAAGACATAAGAAAATACAATGAAAGGCTGGTAGAAACACAGAATTACAGACAAAAATGAAATAATACAATTCGTGACTAAATTTTATAGCGAACTATACAAAGTCCCTGAAACACTTGAAGAAGCGATCATTAATCAAACAGATGTATCAGAAGTACTTTCAGGAAAAAGTAGAACAGCGGTAAAGCAGTTGGAATAGATGATTTAACAGTGGAACTGCTTAACTACGCTGCCAAAAAATCTGGAAAATCTTAATAGGCATATTTACGAACTGTCTAAGATCAAGGTGCGTACCAGACCACTGAAATACAGCAAACATAATTATCATTTATAAGAAAGGTAGCAAATAGGAAATCGAAAACTACATACCTATAAGTCTGCTACCTACTGTCACTATGGTCACTATGACTGTCAGTGTATAAGTGTTAACTATCAAATAATTAACTCTACAAAATTAACCCATTGATTTTAAAGAACATTATAGTTGTGGTGCATTTAAACATATTTGTATTATTACATTTATTCTGCAACTATTTTATTTATTTATTTTTACGCACAACAGGCCGTTAAGGCCTAGAGCATTTTTTTAAAACATAAACCTAATATTAACTAATTACAATTATTTTAAACACAACTTAACTTTTATATTAACTTATATTATATTATAAACTTTATATATATATATATATATATATATATATATATATATATACATATATATACATATATACATATATATAACATTCTTAACTACTCTGAAGGAACTGGTGGACAATATTTCTTCATTCGCTTCTATTTTGTGCTTTTCTTTTCCAGTCCCTCACCTTCAGGTGTTTAAGGTCTTCCTCCACTTTACTAATCCATCTCGTTCTTTTGGGTCCCATTAGTTTTCTGGGTATTACTAGTTTAGGTATTATGTTTCCTGCAATTCTTTCCACATGTACCAACCATCTGATTCTTTGTGACTTAACGAACTTGGTGATGGTAGGTTCTTTGTATAAAGCCATTAATTCATTGTTGGTTCTTCTTTCCCAACCATCTTCTGTCTTCCGTCCTCCGAATATGCGTCTCAATATTTTCCTTTTCCATCTTTCCAGAGTGTCCTCTTCCTTCTTATTTAATGTCCATGTCTCACCGGCATATGTTACTGTGGGTCGAATTACTGTTTTATATATTCTGAGTTTACCTTGTCTAGAAACGTATTTTGAGTTCAGTAGGACTCTTAAACTACCTAATTTTTTTATTCCCTTTTGCTATTCTGGCTTCGAGCTCCCATTTCTCTTTTCCATTTTCATCGAAAACTACACCCAGGTATTCAAATTTGTCCACCCTTTTAAAACTATAGCTTTTACCACTTACATACCTTACACTAAAGTCTTCTTTTTTCCCTCCCTTCTGTCCCTCCCATGATCATATATTTGGTTTTGTGTTCATTTAGTTCCAATCCGAATTTCTGTGCTTCTTCAATGATTTTCTTCACAACTCTTCTTAATTCTTTCTCGGTTTTTGCTAGGATCGTTAGATCGTCAGCAAATGCCAAGCACTGATGCTCATTTTTCATGATCGTTTCCTCCAACTTCATGCTGCATTTTCTGATTACAGTTTTTAACACTAAGTTGAATAATGTAGTGGACAAAGGATCTCCCTGTCTCAAGCCTTTTGCAACCGTAAATTGATCTGATATGTGACCCTGCCAAGCAATTTCACACTTAGAGTTATTTAGTGTCATTTTAACTAGCCGGATCAGTTTCTTTGGTATACCCAAATGTTCCATTGCTCGATAGATTTTCAGTCTATCGACTCTATCATATGCTTGTCTAAAATCCACAAACAAAACATTCAGGGGAACTTTACCTTCATAACAAGTCGTTTGTATCTCCTTTAATGAGAAGATTTGGTATACAGTAGATCTATCCCTTATAAAGCCGGCCTGATACGTAGGATTCTTTTCGTATAGCAATTTAGTTTATCTCTCAATATCCTTCGAGACATTCTACGCTAACAGCTGTATTGGGTATATAAGGGGACTCTCATTGTTTGGAGCAGTCAGAAAAGAAGATCACGACGGGTATTTTAAAATGTAACGCTCGTATTAAAATAAATTATGTAGTTATTATTGTAAGATAAATTCGTATAAATAAACTTTAAATTAAGTTGTAAGTGTTATAAATATAGAACCTTTGATAATTAATAAAAACAATAAATTAGAATTAATAAAGACTTAACAATATGTTTCACTGCAACAGACAATATGTATCATGTTTAAAATTTAGTTCTGGATTGATATAAATTTCATCTAAATAAATGATAGTAATGTGTTCATGTTTTTAATATAGGTAAATTCTTAATACTACATTTACGATCACAATTAGTAACAAAAACCATTACCAATCATTTTTGTAATTTCGAAGGTGTGGCAAACAAATTTTGATTTATATTAGATTTAGATTTAGATTATATAAAGCAAAATATGATGACCATGAGTAAACAAACTAGTCTCAGGATACTAGCTAAAATCATAGTATTTCCATTATACCTTCTTGTATTGATAGGCTGCTCATATAACTGTAACTATTCATAAAGCTATATATACAGTTGTGGTAATCTGAAAACTGCTTATAGCATGCATAATTAGTGCAGTATGAGGTTGTTATACATACCAACACAGAGAGACCGAATATAGTATGAAATTAGTAGCGACATACGAGCCTGTTTTTAACACCCATTAGATTGAATTCTAGTCTTGTCAAAGTGACATTCAATTTTGATAACAGAAACATCAAATATATATTTATTTTTCATTAGTAATAATTCTAGTTTTATTCGCGAAAAAATAGAATCAGGATATTGATATTTCAAGTTAGGAAAATGGTAACCTTTACAACTGAACATAACATTCAAATTATTAAATGGCATTATTCTGGAAGTAGTGCCGACGATATAATCGATAGGTTTTCGTTTTCATTCGAAGGCCTGCACCAACAAAATCTACAATTCAGAATATTGTTTTTGAATTAAAAAAAACTGGTTGTGTCAAGAATTGTAGAAAATGCACGGATAGTGAAGAAGATGAAAATCAACCAGCTCGTGCAATTAATGAAGAACGGAAACAGCGTGAAACTGCCGAATGTAGTCTAGCTGAAATCAATTTTCCTTGTAACAGCACCCTAATTTCAAGAGAAACTGGTATTAGTGCTAGAACTGTACGAAATATTTGAAAAAGAAACCATTTATACAAATTGCTAAAAAATCGGGAAATTTTCCCTGATGATTATAAACGACGGATGATGTTTTGTAAGGACATAATAGAACGAACTAATCGTGACGAAGATTTTATGAAAAAAATCTTGTTTACAGATGGGCCTTTTTTTTATTTAACCTGAAATCACAATCCATCTATTACCGTAGAGTACTTCACAGAAAATAGGCAACTACGTGTTCATTACAAAACACAATACCGTCAAAAACTCTAGTTAGTATCGATGACCCATAGAGATACCTTCTCTTGGGTTGGGAACCTCTGGGAATCTTGCGTTGACATGGTGTAAATATGAAATACTTTTTCTTCTACGGCAGTACAGCCCAAATTGAGTCTTGGCCTCATTTATTTTTTGTCTCTACCCTTGCTTGTCTGTGGACTCTTCTCCATACATGGACTCCTAAAAGGGCTTGTGCGTCGCTGTTTACTGTACCTATATGTCTTCCCAGCGCTTTCTTTTCTTTCCAGCCGGTCTCTTTCCCTGAATTCTAGCATTCATTGCTCTTTTTGTAGCCTATCGTCTCCCATTCTTATCACATGTCTGGCCCATTACAATCTTTGTATTCTAATAAAGTCTGGCAGAGGTGCTTCCTTATAAAGTTGATAAAGCTCGTTGTTATATCGACTTCTGAAGATTCCTTTTTCCCTCAGAGGTCCTATTATTATCCTATCTTCAGCATTCGTCTATGAACCCACATTTCCTATGCTTCAATTTTGTTCAGGAACGATACTTTTAGCGTCCACACTTCTGAACTATACAAAAGTACGGACCAAAAATAGCACTTAACCATTCTTTGGCTTAGTTCTAAACTGAGATGATTACTGCAAAGAAATGACTTTATTTTTATAAAAGTAGTTTTAGTCATTGCTATTCTATGTTTTCTATGTCTGGATCTAGTTGGTCCGTTATCAAAGTTCCCAAATATTTTATTTTGTGAATTTTCTCAACTTGGATTCCGTTTAATTGAAGCTTTGTATCGGGATGTGAGTGCCGATTAAACACTAAAAATTTGGTTTTGTTTATTTTTGGTTATTTTAATATCCATTTCTTCTCTTACCAAGCCGAATTTGAAGACCTTTAATATTATCTTCTAGAATTACTGTATCGTCTGCATATCTAATCACATTAAGTAGTTCCCCGTTGATTTTCCACACTAACACTTAAAAAAGATGAAAACATTAATTTGAATATTTTTTTAACTTAAGAAATAAATTTAATGTTTTATTGATTAATTTTGAAATAACCCCGATAAAAACAACAACAAAATACCTTTAAATACAGTAAAAATAATTGAAGTTTTTATCAAACCATAATAGTACCTTAAGATATGAAGATTCATAGTAAATATCCTAATCCTTTAACATTCTTACCCCACAAATTTACGAACAACAAATAATACCAATTGCACAGAATGAATATTCATAAACAAAAGTCCTTATTTAGTCTTTTAACAATCAAAAAAACCAATATTTCCAACTTCTTCTGGGACGAATACACACATATTAGAAATGTTTGGAAAGGTTTTTAAAATTCCCCGCTCATTGTGACGCCAGAGCCATAGGAGGCACTGGCTGGACTGGTCTGTCTTTTTCGTTGGCCTATAAATTGTCAACGCTGACATAATAGTTGACATTTTTTTGGCATAGACCACTAGACAGTAGACAGTTGACTATTTTATGGACTATTTTTGGCTTGGCTTGGGTGGGACAATTTTTAATTTTTTAGTATTGAAGTCACAGACACAGAACTGTATAAAAATATTGATTAAAGTAGTTAAAAGTTAAGATATGTATATCTACTGATCGTGTATCGTTCACGATAATATTTATTTTAATGAATGGTTTATTTCATAAATATTAATAATATATCATGGATTTTAATTTGGCTGTATTTCAAGAACCCCGAGGGGTGATGAGAATTGTGCAGTTCGTAAGTAGTTTTTAGTTATTTGGTTAATTTGAGGATTATTAATGTTATACAGATTATAATAAACTTCGATAATAGATAAAATTAAAAAATTATTTTCGACTTTAGGTGTACGTGGGGTCGGCGACCTTTATATTTCTTCATAGATTTCTGTTTGGTGGTACTAATTACATGAAAATGTCTAGAAATAGTGAGATGAGTCATATTTACAGAACGCAGTAACGCCAATTAAGGTGAAATGTTTTTTAAAATGCTCTGGATTATCCCACTGAAATTATACTGCCTACTAAGTTTTATGATGAAAGTTTCATTGTAGGTCACCCCATTCATAATAATTGATTAAAATATATTCCTGGCTGATGTGAATAAATAATTTTTGATAAATCTTAGGAATGTCAAAACAGTATTATTGGGGCCATGCAAAATCTTTAAAACATTAAGTAAACATTCAACTATTTTTTTGGCAACAGCAAAGTTATTATAAGAATGAAGAAGTCTTATGTATGCGGAAACTAAATAAAATTAATCAAATAGGACAAAATAAATCCCTACAGAGACTGGTCTATAATTCAGGAAAAAAAGTTAACATAATTAACCCTAGAACCACAAATTGATATTAATGGAGCAATTTTAACAAGGTGGGGTCACCAGCGAACCGAAAGTATTTTCCAAAATAAAAGAAACTGTCAAAAAATTTACCAAATAATTTGATTTCTAATCATAAAATTGTTTGATGACAAGAAGCAAAACTAATATACTGAGTGAGTCAAAATATAAAAGCACTTGCATTTGACATACTTTTTAGCATGTCAAAAGTAAATTAAAAAAACAGTCAGGGGTTGTATATTTCATTCTAATATTATTTACAATCTTCACAAATAATAAATTGGTGTTCTACATACATATTTTTTCGCAGTAAACACAAATATGGCGCTTTTTCTATCATTACATCTTAGACAGAAATAACATTGACAGATTAGGAGATTTACAGTGGGTTTTTTAGCTGGATATCCCAATTAATCACAAATATATTCCCTTAATTTTTTCAGAAGCAAGGTATTATTCATTTTTTGTTGCATATGACCTTGTACTTAATGCATCAGCTAAGAACTTCAGACATTTTTCAGTGGGTCAGGAAAAAATAGTTGCCATAAATCTTTTATGTTGGCTGTATTTTGTCGGCTTTCAGTAGCCTGAAAATGACTACTTTTCAGGAGAGCTTATTTAAGGTTTTTAAAAAAATGATTTCCATTTTGTAATGACTTATAGTTTATTTTATTCTCAACTTTTTTGTTCTGAATTATTAATCTTAGAAATGCATTCTTTACGGTAATACAATGCATTTATGCAACAATGCATAAATTGTGTTTTCAAAATAAATATCAACATTAAGATAAAGTAGTGGAGATACATTTTTGTGTCTCTAACTGAAAAGTCTATTATTACATTGACTTACATATGCACCATTTTATATTAGAAAATCTTAATCCTATTACAAAGTCATTTGTATGTGAGTAATATCGATAAATTTCGAGAGATGAACATATTGAATGGCAGGTATAATAATTAAAAGTACAATAGATTAAAATTTATTAATCTCTACCTGGTCGGAAAACTTATCCACACCATTTAAATACAAATGACTTTGTAGTAGGATTAAAACTAAGCTTTTCTAAAATGAAATGGTACCTACTTGTTAATGGTAATTCTTTGTTGCTGTAGCATTATAATTTAATTTTACAACTCAGGGTTACTCAATTTACTAATAATAATAATTATAATCCATTTTATAACTTTATATTGTTCGGAAGCTATTTTCTTGTGGCATTAAATACTATTTAAATGTCTCTATGGGAATAACCACAATATATTTATTAAAAAAATAAACTTTATGTTTACACAACGATTTCTGAATTAAAAGTCGAAACGTCAATAAAGTTCCTTTTTTTAATAAATATATTGTGGATATTCCCATCGAGACGTTTATAACTTTATTTAAAATCATAAAATATATTTTTTTAATTAAACATAGACTTTGAAAACATTTTCAAACAAATTTAATTATGTCATTCACATCCGATTGATTATTCTTATCGTTGGTGAGCAATGACTTATAAGAGATGATACTGGGAAGGAATAATGCCTTTATTGCACAGCTCTTCTAAATCCTTATATTTTTTCTCTTTAATGACCCTTGTCCTTCATACGCCATTGTTAAGTTTGGCATGGAAAATTTAATAGTTTCTTTTCGGATAACCTCAAAAGATCCATAATTTTCATTTTCCTTGTTTTATTTAAAAAATATATGTTTATTATCGTCTTTTCTGCACTGCAGAAATTTTTATTAGAATTGTGGCAAAAGCTTTGAAGTCATAAATTTCTTCCTGTCTAATCTCATGTACAATGTATTTTGATTTCTTTGAGTCCATTGTTACATTGGAGTATCACCCAGTGGGATCAACTATGTCCAAATTTTTTTGTGTTTTTCCAATATGACCATGGACCGAGTCACACTTCATCATCAAATGGACAGGTTCAAAAAAGCAATGGTCAATTTTTGGAATCTCTAATGTCTGAACAGCGTAAAAAAACATACAAGATACATTTACGTTGCAGTTTTGGTCACCACAAGTGTCACTTATTCTTAATTGTCACCAAAAAATATATCCTCACATTTTGTTCATATCCTGATACAGGAGGTTCACATGGGAGGAACTATCTGAATGTCACTTGTTGTGATGAGAGCCGTAAATTATGACTATGTGTTTTATCATCCCGTACCGATTTTTTAAGAGCTAACTTCTTCCCTCTTGAATCCATTATTGTGTAATAATAAAATTATAAAAGAGGATTATAACGAATATTATAACAATCTATAACAATTAACTTTAACTGAATCACAAATTTACATATTCACAGTTGTAACAAACAGAACTGGAAATGCAATGGACCACCCTGCTAAACATAATAAACAAATTATCAAGTCCACAGTTGCTACCTGCAATCACCATTAAGTGCAATAAAATTAATACCACAAGAATGTAACTCAATATCAACTTATTTATATTACGAAAACATAGTATGACAGGAATGTAACAGCACTTACATTTCTGTGACACTTAAATATTGCTAAGAAATGTAGTTACGAGAACTCCTTGCTCAGGTTGTAGGTGTTCAGAGAGATAGTTTTATGTCACTCAATAGAACTCACTAAAGTAAGTTCAATGGTGTAGATATCTCAAAATGGGAAAAAATGTAGTTACATTTTTGTGTCACTAAGCCGACAATTTGTAACTTTCCTACTTGGACCAAGTAGATGAAGAACAATATTTTTTTAAGTTCTGGTTTTCTTACTAATTATAGGTTGTGTAAACCAAACCTTTAAAACCATTATTTTAATACCTAATATACTACTTTACACCTAATACTTTCGAGCAGTTGTCTTCTAAATCATGGTCCATGGTGTTTTGATATAAATCAACATCACTCTCTTGTTGCAATTCTATCAAATCAAACATATCGTCGGTCATGTGGCATAGTTCAAAAGTCGAGTTTCTCTTACTACCAGTTTTATTGCCTCTGGCATTACTTTATCTGGACCTGGAGCTGTACCTGTCATTATACTTTCTACTGCTGAATGATCTCTTCAGTAGTAAACTGTGTAGGTTGAATATTTTTGTCTATTCATAGAAATGTGTTGTTGTGTTTCCTTGGAAATAGGGTTTTTAATGGTTTTTTTTACACAAAGGTTATATGGGGTCTTAAACTGTAGACTTTTCATGGCAATTCTGTATGCTTCACCCCATAGATCTTCTTTCAGCACTGCACACAAGTTCTACCAACATGTATGTTTTGTCCTTTTAATTTCTTTATTTAGTTCTTTTTGTGCTTTTATATCCTCATGTTCTTCTTGATATTTATGCCTTTGTGCTATTCATCTTCATTTTAAGCATTCCTCTTGTTTATTTTGGATTTTGTTCCACCAGTAAGACACTGTGTATGTAGATGTAGTATGCCTATATTTAGTACTTCTTTTGTGTGCATTTATGATATTTTCTCAAGAACTCATTGAAGTTAATAATTTCTTCTGGTAGGTTATTTATTTGTCTTTAAACTTTTCCTTTATTGAATACTATCCTCTTCCCACCAAATTTTGTGACCTTAGTGCCAATTTTATGTGATGTACTTGTGAAAGGTGAAAAGGTCTTTAAATCTTCTTGGCAACACTGTTGCTTGCTAGGGTATGTATCTATATGACTTTCCAATGTACCTCTCACAAAGGTTGGTCTAAGGTTGTTTCACACTGCAAGGTCTGCTATAGAGATGCATTCATTGCAAAGTTCGCCCCTCTCATCATTTCGTGGGGATCCCCATAAATAGTCTGTCTACTAACAATCTTTCTCTCTCTGCGATGTGTCGATTATATTCTCTATGTGTTGTCTGTAGTGCTCTCTGCTAATAGTTGGCGAAATATAGCATGCTATTTATGATTGTCCTATCAATTGATATTATGTACTCCAGTTTTTCTATATAAACTTCTTGACCATACCACAGACTATTCTGATTTATTCAGTCTTATCAACTTTAGATGTAGTACTAGAATAATAGAAGACCGTACGAGACTATGCATTTTCTTGTATCATTTCTTATATCGTTTCTGATATAGAAAGTTATTTATGTTTTCTTGTATCGTTTTTTGCACATACATTTGTACTCTGTGTGACACTATGCAAGTTCTTTTACCGGAAATTGTAACTGATTCGGCACATGATTGACCAAAATTTTGACATCTATAAAAATAGAACAGTAGTACCTGAGGACCCCAAACCAGATGCTACTGATTATTTTTTTAAAATACTGTGGTGCAAAAATTAAAGAAATAAAATGTCCCAATATTAAAACTAAATTGGAAACCACAATTTTTGAAGATATTCAACAGGCTGTAATGGGAGACAGAAATAATAAATAATTTGGTTGTAATAATTTATTTGTTTTTTTTTACA